AACTAATTTGCATTAATGAACGCACATGTAATCATTAATAATATTATCCTATCGTGACATACCTATGTGACTAATTTTATTCACCCTGCAAAGTTCGCCAATGGAAATTCAATGTAAAAAATTACAGCTAATTCAGTTAAAAACGTGTTCAAACTCCCAAAAATATCGAATAGGGGAGAGTTCAGTTATATGGGGCTATCTGAAAAAGTAGACCTATAGTTAGGTTAGGGATGTACGGTTGTTAGTAACAACCGTCCACTCGGAGACTATGTCCATTGTGATCATCCTTTTTTACCTGCAAGGAAAAGAAAAGAGAGAGTGGAAGAGCAAGGAGAAAAGAAAGCGAGAGAAGAATAGAGGAAGAAAGGTTATTTGAGCCATGTCAAATTTTTGACAAAGCCTAGGATCTGGATTGGGTCTATTTTAGAGAAGAAGAAGGCTAGATTATCAATTAAATTAAATATCTTTCAAACTATTGTTCAAGTCTTCTGCTAAACAGCGATGGACATTTACCTGTTAGAGGATATGTTCTGCAAGCAGGTTCTCTCAGCCATCTGTTGCCGACTACCTCGTAGTAGAACTCCTGGCCCCACTTACAGTTAATATCGAATAATGGGGCGTACCGTTATATGGGCGCTAATTTAAATTACTAAAAAAGAATTTTATAGTACTAAATTATAGTCAATTTTTTTTTTGAAGATGTGTCTAAACTCCACAAAATTCCGAATAATAAGAACTACCGTTATATGGAGGCTACCCTAAAAAGTGGGCTGCTATCGATCATTTTTGGTAGAGAGATTTCCTATCCAATGGGAACACAAGGTACCAAATTACAGCTAATTCGGATAAAATCCCTGACAATTATCCCAAAATAAGGAATATTTGGGATTAACGTAATATAGGGGCTATGCCGGAACGTGGATCTATATAACATTTCTATTTTCTGTATATACCATTATTAATACCAAATATCCATTATATATACCAATTTTTTGTTTGTTTTTTCTTCCAAAAAGTTCATCATATTTACAATTTTCAGTCAGTTCGCGTTGAGTATTTAAAGATATACATCCTGGATGATATTTTAATCCAAAATTATATAACTTTTGCAAATTTAATTTAACGAAAGAGTGTAGCTTCCTAACTTTTCAGATACAAAAGTATTATATAAAGCACACTCAATATTAATATGTGAATCTGTCATATAGGGCCATGTTCCATTTAATTATTAGTTGAAATTTATTGATTGAACGTTCTATGTTTATCATATCAGTACAAAAAGAGCCCGAACACAAATTTCAACCACTCCTCAAATATCAACAAACTATTTTTTTTTAATGCAAAATGTTCCAACTAGCTTTTCTTGAACACACTGTGTATTTATAAATGTAGACATGACTGTTGGTGACGTTTTAACCTACATAAATTAAACTAAACTATGCCACTTGCAAAACAGTCCAATGTGTATTAAGGTGAATGCGCGTTTTTTCGCCGCAGTACGGTTTTTTGTATTATCTAGATTATCCATAGACTGGTTTGGGTAACATGAAATATGGTTTTAAGATGGATTTTAAGTGACGAAAGCAGATAAATTATTTATTTTAAAAAACAATTTTTATTTTATTTGTTTAAAATGAATGCTTGGGCAGTCTAGAATAAGAGAATTTTGAAAACATATCGATATAAGCATGGTGCGATTATACAAGGTAGGGTTTTGTCAACAAATATTAGAATAAATAAAAACAAATGCAACAAGCGGTTAATTGTAACATTTTACCAAAAACGCGTCCTTTTTTTAATCGAGTTAGGGATGTGATTTTCATATTGATTTATTCACAAATCATGGATTTCTTCTTACCAATGTTGCAAAATCCATCTTTAAATAAATGAATTTTAGAATATATTTTACTACATTTTTCAATACATCACATACAAAGTCACACATTTTGTATCTGACTTTGACATAACAAACCACAATCTGCAAGAATGACCAAGTTTTTACTGCGATAACAATATCGCATCAAAAATTGCCGACACCGATTAAGAGCTGATGCAATAAAAACTATGCAATTCGGCATACCCGAATCTTGATAAATACATACGACATATTCATATTCACTTCATAAATATTTTGTTTTCCTTCGTCTGACGCTTGATGTTAACATTAAATTACATTCATTTCTCAAACGTTGGAAAATTGTTTAATGTGTTAAAGGAGTAATTTGTTGCTTGTTTTTCTTATTTCAATTCTTGTTCTTTTACATTACATTTTTGTAATTGCAGGAAACCGCTTTAACGTAAATAATAAAGGATATTAATGAGGCGGTAATATTGAATAAAAAACCCTCTAAACAATTTAGATAATGAGACGGCCAAATATTAAATGGCTGTTTAAAACGGCATGCCTACTAATTATTGCCGGAACGCTATTTATCCTTATAACGGGATATCTTTCGGCCAGTCCGTATACAAATAAACCCTCATATATACAAAAGCCAAATGCTGCAGCACAGAAATCCTTGGGTCACAATGACAGGCATCATCCTGTGGCAGATTTAGTGGAACAACCAGTTGGACCGGCTCCAGATGAGCAAAGACCACCAAAAGTGGCTCCTGTCGAGCAACCGAAAATAAAACGTGATGACAATAGCAACGACAACGATGCTGCCAACAACGATATATTGGAAGAAGAGCGACAGGAACAACAAGGCGAAATGCAGCAGCAACAGCAGCCACAATTGTTGCCACCTAGCCACACAAAGAAGGATTGGCACGATTATACTGCCATGGAACGTGATGCCAAACGTGTCGGTTTTGGGGAACAGGGCAAGAGAGCCTATAACAATGACGAATCCACTAAAGATTTAGAAAGGAAAATGTCGCTTGAAAACGGATTCAATGCCTATTTATCAGATATGATATCGGTCAATCGTTCAGTGCCAGATATACGCAATAAAGGGTATGTCGTCTTACAAATAGATTATCTTGTTCATCCTGAATTATTAACAACCGAGGTTTCCTTTCAGTTGTCGGAGTAAACTGTACGACAGCGAGCTATTAACTGTTAGCGTAGTTATTCCATATTATAACGAACACTTTAGTGTCCTAGTCCGTTCCATACACAGTTTAGTGAATCGCTCGCCACCAGAGTTGCTCAAGGAGATTATATTGGTCGACGATTTTAGTGATCGGGAATACCTTTTCAAGCAGCTTGATCAGTATGTGGAAGAAAATTTTCCACATCTCGTACAAATTATACGTCTAAAGCAACGCACTGGCCTGATTGGGGCACGTATGGCCGGAGCTCGTAAAGCTACTGCCGATGTTTTGATATTTTTGGATTCTCATATAGAAGCTAACTATAATTGGTTGCCACCATTGCTGGAACCTATTAAATTCAATAAACGCACTGCCGTATGCCCCTTCATCGATGTCATCGATCATAGTAATTTTGAATATCGCGCCCAGGATGAAGGTGCTCGCGGAGCCTTTGATTGGGAATTTTACTATAAACGCTTGCCTTTATTACCCGAAGATCTCGTGGATAGGACCAAACCGTTTAAGAGCCCTGTAATGGCAGGTGGTCTCTTCGCGATTTCCAGAGAATTCTTTTTCGAGCTCGGCGGCTATGACGAGGGACTGGATATATGGGGCGGTGAGCAATACGAGCTGAGTTTCAAAATATGGATGTGTGGCGGTGAGATGTACGATGCACCTTGTTCGCGTATAGCTCACATATACCGTGGTCCTCGCAATAGTATGCCAAGTCCCCGTAAAGGCGACTATGTTCACAGAGTAAGTAAATCGGAAAACATATTTTCAAAATAAATTTTATCATTGGTTTCATTGTTTAATAGAACTATAAACGTGTAGCAGAGGTGTGGATGGACGAATACAAACAGTATTTGTACGAACATGGCCAGGGAATATATGAAAAGATCGATGCTGGCGATCTAACCGAACAGAAAGCTATACGAGAAAAGCTTCACTGCAAATCGTTCAAGTGGTTTATGGAGAATGTTGCATTTGATTTGACAAAGGTATATCCACCTGTTGAACCGGCTGATTATGCTTATGGCGCAATTCAAAACGTGGGTGCGCCTACGTTGTGCGTTGATACTTTGGGAAAACCTCGACATTCAGAAATTGGTTTATATCCATGCCACGAAGAATTGGAAAGGCCGCAACGTAATCAAAATTTGGCTCTTAGTTGGCATAGGGATCTGCGTTTGAGACGAAAACTTGACTGCTTGGACGTACAACAGACACACAAAAATGCCCCAGTTTGGCTTTGGGATTGTCATGGTCAGGGTGGCAATCAATTTTGGTCTTATGACAGAGATCATAAATGGCTGGTACATGGACGCAATCACGGCAGTAGCAAGCGCTGTTTGGAAGCATCCCCTAAAGATCGAAAACTTTACGTAAATATCTGTGACGAAGATAACCTATATATGCAGTGGAATTTCGGAGTGGTAAATAATACAGCATTAGACAGTTTTTGGGATGATATTCCAAGCTCCCTCTAAAGATCCATCGTGATGGTTGCGAGTATAATGTCCAATGTACTTAATAGCTCAACTGGATGTCGCAGATTCCTCCATATTAGTCTAGTATATCATATTAGAATACATGTATACGCAAATACATACATACATATACGATATATGTAAATATTTTTTAACGCACAATGTAAACGTCGTTTCTAGTGTAACACAGGCCACGTTTAAATGCCAAGTATTTTATTAAACATTTCCATGATTGCCAATTTTCTTTTTTTTCCCTAATTTTAAGTCTTTGCAAAATTCCACTACATTATCTAATAAATGTAAGGAAATATGCCATGTGCAATTAGTTAATCATATTGTTATATAGTGTACACATAAAAAGTCTCAATAAAGCAATAGAATTTATATGTCATTATATCAATCAATTGAAATTGAATATTATTTGCAGGTATGGATTAATGGAAAAGTTCGAGTTGAGAATTTTTGTCATAGTGGATTCATTTTCTAATGTATTAAATTCGATCTGACAAATTATGGCGTTACCAATAATATGACGTGACGTACAAAAATAATGAATTTATCCATGGTGTAAAATTTTGTAATAAGTCCGTATTAAAGTGATAAACGTAATCAAAGGACCACATTGAGAAATTATAAAATGATTCCCCTTTAGGAAAAAATATATTCAGACATAACATCCATTCAAATGCAATTTTGTGGTGAATAATATCGGCCGAGTAAGTCACATTTTTTACAATACTGCTGTTGAAAACATAACAAGACAATGGAGTCGACCAGGGAACAAAGGAACTTCTACAGGACTTTTCAATCTGAGTGTGTAAGTTATATTAATCTGATTTTTTAACACAACATGAAGTCTAATATAGAGAACAATTCTGCATCATTAGCTCAAATTCACCATAACATATAGGGGGAGGGATATTGAAATTCTCAATATTATACTTACGGGGTCGTGGAAGGGATGTTAAACAGCTGATCCAAAAATGGCTGAGTTTGCAAAATCTTACTGGATAAAATTCTTTCAGTAAACTCCTGTAAGTTTGTTGTTGTTGAACTGTCAAACTTGCTTTCACACTTGACTCTCTTTTACGGGATTTTTGTGTAAACAGACAACATTTCGTAAAGGGCCCCATCAAGGCCTATATAAGGTCGGCCAGTAAGCGAATTCATAAAGAAAACTTAAGTTTAACGTCAAATATTTTTGCCGAGGCGAAAACAAATTGTTTCGCCTTTAAATAAAAAATACAACCAAAACACAACTCAATTTATAGTTTTGTAAGATAATTGGCCTTTAAAATCTTGAAATAGTCCAAATGTGTTTCACAAAGACGATGTAAATTAAAATTGAATTGAATGTTCACAAAATATTAATATTTTCGTTTTGACGTCTAACATAATTTTTTACGTATGTATAGGTTTCAAAATATGATTTGACAGCAAACTTTATACTCAGATGTGCTTACTGGCCGACCTTATATAGGCCTTGGGCCCCATACACTATACATCATGCCGTATAGCATTTATCATAGTATGTGTTATTTTTTGAAAGTTTATTTATGTATGTGTGACACACACAACCCACCCAGTTGTTCAAAAAATATCAATTGTCTGCTATTATATAGTTATATAGCTAGTTACTTGGTGATCTAGTTACTTCATACTCCAAAAAGGAACACAAAATAGACTGTTGGATTTTTTTGTTAAGGGGACCCCACCCATTCTCGATTTTAATTTTTCAAGATATTCAATGGGCTGGTAAATCAATACCAATGCTTGTTAAGGTTTGTAACTTTGCACATATATATTTGAAGATTTAAAAGAGAAGAAAAATAATTTACAAAAAAATTTTGTTATTGTTTTGTTGTTGTTTTTTGTAATTAAAGAAAAGTCCTTATTTTTGATGGCGGGCATGATAACTCCTCACTGGAACATCGGAATCCGAAAATTCCAACGGTGTTAGAAAGAGTACATGTCTGGCTCTCGTATGAACTAGGATTATTGACTTCGATCTAAAATTAACAAAATGGCGGACCTTTGAAAAAATATTTTTGGAAAATCGCCGATTTTTGACCAAAAACCAAGTTAAAAAATAAGGAAGATCTTCACCGATTGGCTTTATCCTAGTTCATACGATAGCTACACACTCACAGAGAAACGTGTAAAAATTTGGAATCGATTGGGTTATTAGTTTTTGAGTTATCGTGCCCGCCATTCGCAAAAGAGAAAAACGCGTTTAAAGTCTGAGAATCCCTTTAGCCGTCACTTGATGCTGACACAATAAATCGGCTATATTTTCAAGAGTTCTTGAGATTTTCACTTGAAATTTTGTAGAGACATTCTTGATTTAGTGTAGATTCGAATTAAATCAAAAAAATTTTTGACCCCGAGAATGGGGGGGTCCCCTTAATTGAAAAAGTTGTCTACGCAGACCATACCAATTCAGTAGTTACTGGTAATGCAAAGGGTAATGAATTGACTATCGAAATGACTGTATACTGGTAACGCAGGCAGGGGACAATTGACTTCCCCAATGACATACCCATGTTAAATTCACCAGTCTAGGGCATGAAGTGGTAACTAGTGGTACTTACAGGTAATTAGTAAAATATCTAGTTCATCACCAGTTACTCGAACAACTGGGCAGTAGTTCGAGTAACTGGTTATGAACTAGTTATTTTACTAATTACCTGTAACTACCACTAGTTACCACATCATGCCCTAGACTGGTGAATTTAACATGGGTATGTCATTGGGGAAGTCAATTGTCCCCTGTCTGCGTTACCAGTATACATTCATTTCGGTAGTACAAAATGGCAGTACATTTACCTAGTTACGTATATATAACAAAGTAGATTGTATAACAGTTTGGAATATTTCAAATATTTTATAAAATTAATTCTGTATACATATCTTTATTTATTGATATTTATTATAATAGAGTATTGTATACAATTATACGGTTTGATCCATTTGTGAATCCCTAATTCGCTTCTCTTTTGTCGCCCTAGTGCTTTTCAAATCTGTCTTCCAGGAAATATAGAAGTCTCTGAAGAGAAGATTGAGATTGAAAATTAAAAAAAAAACTTAGAAGATTTATATATTATCATAGAAAACTCACCTTTAGAAAATCGGTAGAATATCTCTTGAGCAGTTATTGATGTGTTTCGGACATCTATGGAGCGATACCTCTTCCTGTATCGTTACTAAATATCAACAGAACACATGTAAAATTTAATTTGAAGGAACCGCTTCTAACCCTTTGTGTGTTCTCTCAATCTGAATGGTCGAAATCTTTAGAAAACCTGGAAAGTCCATTCATTACTCTTTGCATTACCAGTAACTACTGAATTGGAATGATATACTTAGACAAGCTTTTCAATCGACAAATAAATCCAACAGTCTACTTTATGTTCCATTTTTGGATATAAAGTAACTAGATCACTAAGTAACTAGCTATATAACTATGTAATAGAAGATAATTGATATTTTTTGAACAACTGGGAATGCATGAAGAAAATCAAAATAGTTTTGATTTTGAAAATGAAACCCTATCAATCTGGTGAATAATATTCATTTTGAAAGTTGTCAGTAAATAATTTTGTGTACAAAAATAATAGAATTGTGACGGAATAAAAAAAAAACAACTGAATTTACGACTCAAAATGTAATTTTTGGGACAAAAATCGATTTTTTGGAATAGTGATTGAAGAGTTTGCCATACACTAGTCGATCTCGCATATACACAAAGGGGTTCATCGGCATGACGACATGATTTATAGTGTATGGGGCCCTTAACAATGTAATGTCTATGTTGATGTCTAAAACATGCATTCATTTAATCATTTAAATAAAATAGCATTATTTTTAAAACGGTATAAAATAGATATATTTTTAGTATGTGAAACACATCTAACTTCCAAATCATTTTTACGAAAAAATGGATACGATGCAATACTTTCTAACCATCCAGATGATAGAGCGCATGACGGTTCGGCTATACTTATACGGAAAACTATCTACAGGCTGCAGGTGTGAAGATAATATTCGATAACAACACATCCATATACTCGGTATACTATCCACCTAGATTGTGTTACATATGACCGATTTTTAAAAAATATCGGGAATAAATTTATAGTTGGTGGGGATTTCAACGCCGAACACACCTGGTGGGGATCTCGTTTAACCACATTGTTTAACTCAATAACGAGATTTTCTATCTCAGTGGAAGCATGCCAAAATGGTACTGAAACCAAATAATAAGTTTGCTTCCAATAATGTCAAAGATTATTTCAGAAGCGTATGTCACCGATTATTGAAAAACTGAACATCGTTCCTGATCATCAATTCGGGCTTAGGCATAGACATGGAACTCTAGAGCAATGTCACCGGGTGGTGAAAATAAAAAGAGAATCACTAGAAAATAAAATGTATTGTTGCTCTGCGTTTTTGGATGTTAAGCAAGCGTTTGACAGAGTCTGGCATGCCGGATTACTTTTTAAACTGAAAAATTAGTTACCGACACCATTTTACTTATTGCTCAAATCATATCTAAATGAACGTCGCTTTTATGTAAACGGAGATGATTCTGAGATTGCAAATATACAATCTGGGGTACCGCAAGGGAGAGTAATGGGCCCAGTTCTCTATACGATATATACTGCTGATATGCCTGTAAACTCTGATGTTACCATTGCTACGTATGCTGACGATACAGCTATCCTGGCAAGTTGTTCCAATCCTGCAGAAGCCTCAATATAGTCCAAAAACACTAAATTGCCGTCAGTTGTGGTTTAACAAATGGAACATCAAAGTTAATCCTGACAAATCGACACATGTCACATATACTCTTAGAAAAGAAAGTTGCACATCTCTTACTTTAGATGGAGTTACAATTCCTACTTCCCATTGTGTGAAATACCTTGGATTCCGAATTGATCGCCGACTTACGTGGAAGGAGTTAAGGAGTTAAATTTAATGCTTATTTCTAATTTCAGCAA